TCTCTCTTGTTAGTAAATCTATTACAGCCCTGGGCTCCTCAGCATGCATGCTGGGAAAATTCCCATAGCTCCTGCTTCTGGTGACAGCCTACCCAGGCCGTCTGCTGAAGACACAGGCCCAGAGGGTAAAGCTGGGCTCTAGGAAGGGCGGGGGTAAACTCCAACACCCAGTGCCCCAGGTCTCCCCAGGGTCACTCTCACGCTCCCAAGCCCATTTTCCATAGCTGAGTAATCTTTATGACACACACATTTCATCTCATCCCCCCCTTGTTTAAAACTCTTAATGCCTTCTCGCCATTGCCCTTGGAATGAAACAGCAAATCTTTGGCATAGCTTCCAGGTCCTGTGTGCTCCTTTCCCTCCAAACCTCCCCTGCTTCACTCTGATCCCATTACCCCGCGCTCCCCCAACACTGGCCTCCCACGGCCACAGTGACCCAAGCGCTTTCCCACCTCCAGGCTTTGCACGTGCTATTTATTCCCTTGGCTTGGGTTGCTTTTCCCTCTTTCTTGACTTGCTAACACCTGGCATCTGCAGACTTGGCTTAAATGTCACTTCCCAGCTAGGTGCAGTGGCTCACGCCTGTAATCCCAGCACTTTGGGAGGCCGAGGTGGGCAGATTACCTGAGGTCAGGAGTTCAAGACTGGCCTGGCCAACATGGTGAAACCCCGAATCTACTAAAAAAAAAAATACAAAAAATTAGCTGGGCATGGTGGTGGGCACCTGTAATCTCAGCTACTTGTGAAGCTGAGGCAGGAGAATCACTTGAACCCAGGAGGCAGAGATTGCAGTCAGCCGAGATCGTGGCATTGCATTCCAGCCTGGGCAATAAGAACAAAACTCCGTCTCAAAATAAATAAATAAATAAAGTAACTTCCCGATAAAAGTGATAAGCCCTCCCTGACCACTCTCTCATAGAGCCTGGGCCCCTTTTCCCTCATGGTACTTGGCACTACCTGTAACCATGCATTTAAATGTTTAGGATTCACAAGGGCAGGGACGGTGTCACCCAGGAGGGAGTGCAGTAGCACAATCACAGCTCACTGCAGCCTTGAACTCCTGGGTTCAAGGGATCCTCCCATCTCAGCCTCCCAGGTAGCCAGGACTACAGGTGCACATCATCAGCCCAACTAAATGTTTTTTTTTTTGAGACAAAGTCTCACTCTGTTGCACAGGCTGGAGTATAATCATGCAATCTCAGCTCACTGCAACCTCTGCCTCCCAGGTTCAAGCAATTCTCCTGCCTCAGCCTCCCAAAGTGCTGGGATTACAGGTGTGTGCCACCACACCCTGCTAATTTTTGTGTTTTTAGTAGATAGGGGTTTCATCTTGTTGGCCAAGCTAGTCTTGAACTTCTGACCTCAGGTGATCTGCCCGCCTCAGCATCCCAAAGTGCTGGGATTACATGTGTGAGCCACCGTGCCCGGCCCCAGCTAATTTTTTAATTTTTATGTTTTGCAGAGGCAGGGTCTCACTATGTTACCCAGGCTGGCCTCAAACTCCTGGCCTCAAGCAATCCTCCCCGCTTTGGCCTCCCAAAGTGTTGGGATTACAGGCATGAGCCACCGAGCCCAACCCATATTTTTATTTTTGGTGACATGGACGTAGTACACATTCAAAGTAAGTGAATTACAGCAATTTTGAGCCTCTGAAAGTATGTCCTACTTAGAAACCGACTGTGACCTGCCTTCAGGCCATGCATCTAATAACCTTCAAAATCAGGTCTCTTGAAACAGGTCTGACCATTTTGCCCTTTGGGAAGCCCCCAGGTGCAAGGGAAACTAAGGCCATAGAATGGGCTTCCCACACACTCACTCCCATTCTGTTCTGTTTCTCAGAAGCCTAAAAGTGGAATCCTAGCTCAGGGAAAATGCAGGGTGTCTCCATCCAGGAACAAACACCCCCTTGCTTGAGGGAGCCCAGGCTCCAGAGAGTTCAGAGCAGCTCATGCCATTAAAGGCATTGCACACCCCGCTGGGGGCTTCAGGCGGATTCCAGCCTCCTGGTATACAGTGGTTTATCAGGAGCAGAACATGCTCTTACATGGGCCAGTGAGAACCCTGGCCCAGCCCTCCACCAATGGCTCCTGCACCTCTGCCCCAAGAGACTTCGGATGCCTGGGGACAAGTAGAAAGGCAGGCTCAGTCCTTGAACAAGGCCAGGTGGGTGTGCTAGAGAGCCAAGAGCCCAGGACAAATCTCGACACGTGAGAGTTAAAAGTTGGGAGACAGTGGGCGCGGTGGCTCATGCCTGTAATCTCAGCACATTGGGAGGCTGACGCGGGAGGATCACAAGGACAAGAGTTCCAGACCAGCCTATTCCACCAACAGAGTGAAACCCTGTCTCTACTAAAAATACAAAAATTAGCTGGGTGTGGTGGCACGCACCTGTAATCCCAGCTACTCAGGAGGCTGAGGCAGGAGAATTGCTTGAACCCGGGAGGCAGAGGTTGCAGTGGGCTGAGATCGTGCCACTACACTCCATTCTGGTGACAGAGCAAGACTCCAACTCAAATAAATAAATAAATAAACAAACAAAGTTGAGGGACGACTACCAGGGCATCTTCACACCTCGGGGGGACACAATCTCCCGGAGGGTCCCTAGGACGAAGTGCCAACTGCCCATAGCTGTAACTGGCTCATCAGCACCCCTTGATTGCTCTTTTCTTGGTTCTCACCCGAATACCATCTATGGGTCTGCTTTAGCGGGAACCCAAACTACAATAGTATTCATAGGGTCCCGTCCTAAACTGTGGGCCATCAGCTGTCTCTCCAAACTCCGGCAGGAGAACCTCATCAAGTGAGATGTGACGCAAAGGAAAAACACCTGGACTGGGAGCCGGACGAATGAGGCTCTCCTCATATTCTGCCATCATAATCTGTGCAGCCTGAGAACACTCTACCAACTTCTCCGAGCCTCTGCTTCTCCGCTGCAATACTGGGTGGGAAACAGTACAGTTAAGCATTTTTTTATACTTGAAAAAACTTGGGCGAAATGTTTACAACTGTCCCCCTGCCCCCTCCCACCTTTTTTTTTTTCTTTTTTTTTTTTTTTTTTTTTTTTTTTTTTATTAGAGACAGGGTCTTGTTTGGTGGCCCAGGCTACGGTGCAGTGGTGCGATCTCAGCTCACTGCAACCTCTGCTTCCTGGGCTCAAGCAATTCTCCAGCCTCAGCCTCCCAAGTAGCTGGGACGGTAGGCATGTGCACCATGCCTGGCTAATTTTTGTATTTTTTGTAGGGATGGGCTTTTGCCATGTTGCCTAGGCTAGTCTCAAACTGCAGAGCTCAAAGCGATCCGCCTGCCTCACCTCTCCAAAGTGCTGTGATTACAGGGGTGAGCCACTGCACCCAGTTCTTTTTTTTTTTTTTTTTGAGACAGAGTCTTACTCTATCAGCCAGGCTGGAGTGCAGGGCTCGATCCCGGCTCACTGCAACCTCCACCTTCTCTGTTCAAGCAATTCTCCTGTCTCAGCCTCCCGAGTACCTGGGACTATAGGCACATGCCACCATGCCCAGCTAATTTTTGTATTTTTAGTAGAGACAGGGTTTCACCATATTGGTCAGGATGGTCTTGAACTCCTGACCTCATGATCCTCCTGACTTGGCCTCCCAATGTGCTGGGATTACAGGCATGAACCACCGCGCCCGGCCTCCTTTGTTTAACATTCAAAATGAACTTCATTGACCTGAGGCCCATTTGCAGACACAGGTGGGGGGAATTAAACTTAAATTGCATGCTAACTTATTGAGTAAAGGAATAGCAATGAGGAAATTGGTACTGATTTCCAGCCACTACCATTTTGACATGGACTTGTTTGAAAAGTTGCAGCGTGGGGGGCAATGAGCGCTCTACACTTTCATCCCAAAATCAGATCCCACATGGCATCACGAAGCTGGGTGGGCTATAGCAAGCTTAGGGGCCACAGGGCCACAAGCGCAAACCACTGAGACTTACAGAGGCATTATCACACATCATTGTCACAACTCCAAAAGGTAGGCCTGTTATTATCCCCATTTTTCAAATAAGGGAGCAGAGGCCGGGTGCGGAGGCTCATGCCTATAATCCCAGGGCATTGGGAGGCCGAGGCAGGTGGATCACCTGAGATCAGGAGTTTGAGACCACCCTGGCCAACATGGTGAACCCCCATCTCTACTAAAAATACAAAAAAATTAGCCTGGCATGGTGGTGGGCACCTGTAATCCCAGCTACTCAGGAGGCTGAGGCAGGAGAACTGTTTGAACCCGGGAGGCGGAGGTTGCAGGGAGCCAAGGCCTTGTCATTGCACTCCAACCTGGGCAACAAGAGCGAAACTCCATCTCAGAAAAGAAACAGCTGGCGTGCCATTTCATCTCAGAGGTTCCTTCCCAGGAGCAAGTCCTCTCCATCATCTTTTCCCTTTTCACTGTAGAAGCCCCCAGTGTCTGCATGGTATTCCATGGTGTACATACCACACAGCCATAAAAAAGAATGAGACCATGTCCTTTGCAGGGACATGAATAGAGCTGGAAGCCATTATCCTTAGCAAAGTAACCCGGGAAGAGAAAACCAAATACCGCATTTATAAGTGGGAGCTAAATGATGAGAACACATGGGCACATAGAGGTGAACGGCACGTACTGAGGTATACGGAAGGGTGAAGGAAGGGTAGAGGGGGAGACTCAGGAAAAATAACTGATGAATACTAAGCTGAATCCCTGGGTGATGGAATAATCTGTACAACCAACCCCTGTGACATGAGTTTAACTAGATAACAGACCTGCACCTGTACCCCTGAACTTAAAAGTAAAAAAAATAAAATAAAATCATGACCTTGGGAAAAAAAAACAAAAAGAAGTCTCGCAATGTAAAAGGCAACCAAGTGCTTATGGGAGACCCTTCCCCAACCCAGTCCCAATTTGGTGACAGCTTTTCTCCCCAGCAGTGGGGTAAAGGCGCCTGTGGGCTTGGGGCCCCATTTCCCACCTTCCCACAGGTAAGCGGTGAATGGGCAGAACAGCCTGGGGAACAGAGACAACCTTTAATCAGGAAACCTCAGGGAGACAAACCCCTGGTGCACAGTCCCAGTGAGTGGACTCCCAGCCGGACGCAGATCTTCCTCCAGGAGAACTTGGCAGCCCCGACCCTTCTCAAAAGGTGAGCCAGCCACGAGGTCCAGGGAGGATGCTGACACTTCCTCCATTCTTACAGCACGTTCCAAACACTCCTTAGGAACAAGGTCACATCCAGTCTTGGGGGTCTTCCATCCTCACCAGGGCCCCTGCAGGAGAGAGCCCAGGCACCCCCACCAGGTTCACCCTTGGAGCCGTCCTGCACCCTCCCTGGGCCATGGGCAGTGTCCGCTCTCCAGAGTCTCCCAGACACAGTGACCTGCCTACACAGTGGGCTCTTCCCCCTGAGAGGCCCCCACCGGGGGGTGCTGGGGCCTGGGGCGGGTGGTGGCTGCAAGGGCTGCAGAGAGTCTAGAGGCGGTGGGAGAAAGTGTGCAAGGCCTGAGGAGGGTGTTGCGGGTCTTCGAGGGCCCAGGGTCCATCATGGAAAGTGCTGAAGCTTCCATTAGGAGGGTGGCAGGCAGAGGAGGCTGCCCAGAGGCTGTCCGGGCCCCAGAGGCTGAAAAGGAGCGCTCTGGAGTCACCGCAGGTAGCTGAGGAGCCCCTGGGGAGGCTAGAGGTAGAGTAGGGGCTCCTGGAGGGGTCAAAGGCCCTGGTGAGAATCGAGGGGAGGCCCCAGGGTCCCCTGGGAACATGCCTGACAGCCCCAGTGGGGGTGAGTGTGGACCATAAGCTGCTGCTGGGCTTCTAGGTAAAGTCTGTGTTTTTGACAAGTTGGTTCTTAAAAGGAGCCGGAGGAGATGGAGCGCCGGCCTCGAGGGAGATGCTGTCGGGGGCCCGGGGCAGGAGCTACAGCTGGCAGGGGCCTCGGCGTCTCCAGGCACACTCCGAGCAGCTTTGCCGAATGCCACCTTTCTGTGAGGTGAGAGCCCCTGCTTTTCTTCCAGAGGAGACAGGGAATCTAGAGAGGAGAGAGAAACAAGATGCATGGCGGTTCTCTCCAGTGGCTGAGGCACTCTGGGACAAGGTACTCTGGGGACACCCAAGCTCTGTCCTCAGAGGGGCCCCAGCACACCTGGTGAGAACCGGCCAGCCCCTGCCTCTAGGAAGAGAAGACTGAAGGAGCAATGAACGGAGGGAGGCAGTTAGCTGTGTGACCTCACGTAAGACATGCAACTCCCCTGGGTCTCTGTTTCCTCATCCGTAAAATGGGCACAGCAGTCAGGACTGAGTGTGAATGAAAGGGTGCACGGAGAGTCTCGGCCTAAACCTCAATGTGAACTATAGACTTTGGATGTCAATGACATGTCAATATCAGTGTAGGATCACCAATTATAACAAACATGTCACGCTGGTGTAGGGTGCTAACGGTGGGTGACACTGTGATGTGTGGAGTCCTATATAGGAACTCTCTGTACTTTCCCCTCAATTTTGCCATGAGCCTCAAACTGTTCTAAAAAATAGTTTCTTTGAAGAATTTTTTTTTTTAATTCTCAGGCTAGGGCTTGGCACATCATAAAGACTCAGTAATAAGGGGAAAGCAAACACAGATGCCCCTCGACTTACGATGGGGTCACATCCCAATAAACTTGTAAATCAGAAACACATTTTAGGCCAGGCACGGTGGCTCACGCCTGTAATCCCAGCACTTTGAGAGGCCGAGGTGGGCAGATCATCTAAGGTCAGGAGTTCAAGACCAGCCTGGCCAACATGGTAAAATCCCATCTCTACTAAAAATACAAAAAAAAATTAGCTGGGTGTGGTGGTGCGTGCCTGTAGTCCCAGCTACTTGGGAGGCCGAGGCACAAGAATCGCTTGAACCCAGAGTGAGAGAGTGCGACGCTCCCCAAAAAAAAAAAAAAAAAAAGGAAATTCTGTCATTTGCAACATGGATGAAATTGGAGGACATTATGCTAAGCGAAATAAGCCAGACACACAAAGACAACTACATGATCTCAGTTTGATGTGGAATCTAAAAAGCCTGAACCCAAAGAAGCAGAGAGTAGCATCATGGCTACGGAGGCCGGCGGGGGCAAGGGGAATGGGGAGATGACTGTCAAAGGCTACAAAATCTCAGACAGGAGGAGTATGTGTTGTGTGTATTTTGTTTCGTTTTGTTTAGAGACAGTGTCTCTCTGTGGCCCAGGCTGGAGTGCAGTGTTCGCCAATTCTTGGGAATCAATCCAGTGTCCCATCTGAAAGCATCCATGCTAGGCTGAAGTCCCGGCTCTACCACCAATCAGCTATGTGATCTCGAGCACATCACTTCACCTCTCTGTGCCTCAGTTTCCTCGCCTGGCACAGGGGGATGACGGGATACTGCTGGGATGAAGGCACATGAGGTGTCCCAACACACAGTGGGTGCTCAGTGCATATTAGTGATTTACTTTTCCACAAAACGGACATAGTTCCCATGTTGTAATTCAAAATAAAGAAGAAAGCAGAGGAAGAGATTAAAAAAGGAGATAAAGATAAAAGCCGGGTGCGGTGGCTCTCGCCTGAAATCCCAGCACTTTGGGAGGCTGAGGCGGGCAGACCATGAAGTCAGGAGTTCGAGGCCAGCCTCGCCAACATGGTGAAACCCCGTCTCTACTAAAAACACAAAAATTAGCTGGGCATGGTGGCACACGCCTGTAGTCCCAGCTACTCAGGAGGCTGAGGCAGGAGAATTGCTTGAACCAGGGAGGAGGAGGTTGCAGTGAGCCGAGCTCGCGCCAGTGCACTCCAGCCTGGGCGACAGAGTGAGACTCCATCTAAAAAAAAAAAAAAAAAGAAAAGAGATAAAGATGAAAAAGGTAGTGCAAAGAAACAGACATCATGGTGTGTGGCATCATGAGCACGGGACAAGGGTCAGCAGGCCACAGCACAGCCATGCAACCTTGAGCGAGCCACGTTCCCTCTCAGAGCCTGGCTTCCTCACATTCAGCCCTTTACAAGTTCCATGTATCTGGGAAGAAGAGCAAACTGGAAGAAGACGGCAGGAAACTCCAGGACCCAGAGGTCCACTTACCTGGGCAGGAAGAACAGCATTCCCCAGGGAGCAGAGCAGGGTCGGCACAGGCCCGCTGGCAGGGAATCTTCTCGCAGCTCACCTCTCCCAGCTGGAGAAGCAGAAGGACCCCCATGAGGAAGCCCAGAGCATCTTGCCTGCCCAGGGCCTCTGGCACCAGCAGCAGGACCCACAGAAAGATCCCAGAACAGAGGCTGCGGTGCCTGAGCCCTCGCCTGGAGAACAGGTAAAGCTAACTGTGGCCAGACCCCCTTAGGAAAACTGCTTCTCCCTCTGGACTTCCACGGAGAGAAGAGATAGTCAAAACTAAAGGTATTCTGGCAGCTAATTAAAGGTGAAGAGGTAAGGAGAATGGACTTATGCTGGCACAGGGGCTCCATGTTCTGCCAAGGGTTGAAAGGCAGGCCACCCTCTGGTCGGTCTGCTCCTGGGTTCCCAGGCCCAGCTCACCTGGCACGTGCACCGGGTACAGGGCTCATCATCCAAGGTGAACACCTGGCCGTTCGCCACCTTCCTCCCCTCGTAGTTGCAGTCTGTGGAGGCAGGGGAGACAGGGGCTCATGAGAGCCGAGGCCTGGCCAGGAGCCTCACACGTGGGGCAGCAGGTCCCACTCACCTCGGCACACGGGGCAGCACTCCCCATCAGGGTGGAAAGGGTAGGTACAGGTGATGGGGCAGTCCACGGGGGAACAGGCCACTGAACCCAACTGCAGGACACAGAAAACGCACAAGGCCCTTGGTTCAGGGCAGCGGATGAGACACTCAGGAAGGCACTGCTCCTGTGGCCACTGAGTGCCCATCAGAACGATCCACATTGTGGGAGGAGTCCATGGTGGGGCAGTGGGGCAGGGTGGGGGGCATTTTCTCTGTTGGGGTCCATCTTCCCACTAGAATTCGAGCCCCGCAAAGGTAAGACCATGGCCTTGTCCACGGAGGGCATCTGTTAACGGGTGCCTGTTGCATGGACTGCCCGGGAAAGATGAGAGATCCATAGGCCAAAGTTCCCCAAAGCCCGAGGCTGAGAACTGGGACCTACGTGCAGTGGGTCGCTCAGGGTCAGTAGCACAGGGCTGTTGTTGACATGCACAGGGCTGTTTACCCTGAGTTTCTCAATCTCTCTGCAGACCGTGTCCCTTGTCACGTATGTACTCTGCTGCGGCTCACTGATCACCAAAGGAATGTCGCATCTGTACCCACACCAGCAAAGCAGCGCCATCCCACATTCAGAATGTCAGCAGGATAAGCATTAAGTATGTATTTGCCGGGAGCAGTGGCTTAAACCTGTAATTCCAGCATTTTGGGAGGCCGAGGCAGGTGGATCACCTGAGGTCAGGAATTTCAAACAAACCTGGCCAACATGGCAAAACTCCGACTCTACTAAAAGTACAAAAATTAGCCGGGCATGGTGGCATGCACCTGTAATCCCAGCTACTTGGGAGGCTGAGGCAGGAGAATCGCTGGAACCTGGGAGGGGGAGGTTGCAGTGACCCAAGACTGTGCCACTGCACTCCAGCCTGAGCGACAGAGTGAGACTCTGTCTCAAAAATAAAATAAATTTTGTTTTTAGCTGGGCATAGTGGCTCACACCTGTAATCCAGCACTTTGGGAAGCTGAGGCAGGAGGATCACTTGAAGGCCATGAATTCAAGACCAGCGTAGGCAACAGCCCAAGATCCTGTCTAAGTATTTTTTAATGTAAAAATTTTAAAATATATTGGCTGGGTGCAGTGGCTCATGTCTATAATCCCAACACATTGAAAGGCTGATGTGCAAGGACCTCCTGCTTAAGCCCAGGAGGTCTAGACTAGCCTGAGCCATACAACACGATCCCATCTCTATGAAAAAAAATTTTAATGAGCCAGGTGTGTAGGTGTGATCCCACCTATTTGGGAGGCTGACACAGGAGGATCGCTTGAGCCCAGGAGGTCAAGGTTGCAGTGAGCCATGATCACGCCACTGCACTTCAACCTGGTGACAGAGCAACACCTGTCTCAAAAAAAATTTTGTTTTCATTTTCCAAAAACTAAGTGATCTATGGGGCATACTTTTTCAGACTGAGAGGCAGTACGACCCAGGAGAATAAATGTGCATCTTGGAATCACAAAACGAGGATTCCAATCTCAATATTGTGATTAACTAGTTACGGGATCTTGAGCAGACTGTCTCTCTGTGCCTTGGTTTTCTCATCTAGAAGAATAAGATGATAAATTCTTGAAATGGATTAGCTGAGTGCGTGCCTATCAAGAGCCTGGCGTACAGCAAGAGCTTGACCACGCAGGTCTATTGAAAAGGTCCCAGTACTGAGTCCTGGGTTTGTGTGCTTCACCTCCACCCTCATCACGAATCCCTGAGACTCTAGTCGGTAACCTGGAAGCAGAGGACTTTTGCCAGCCAGTGTTAAAAATGTTTCTCTGGGCTGGGCATGGTGGCTCAAGCCTATAATCTCAGTACTTTGAGAGGCCGAGGTGGGCGGATCACCTGAGGTCAGGAGCTCCAGACCAGCCTGGCCAACATGGCGAAACTCCGTGTCTACCAAAACTACAAAAATTAGCCAGGCATGGTGATGCATGGCTGTAGTCCCAGTTACTCAGGAGGCTGACATAGGAGAATCGCTTGAACCTGGGAGGCAGAGGTTGCAGTGAGCCGAGGTTGCACCACTGCACTCCAACCTGGGAGCCTGGGTGACAGAGCAAGTTACCATGTCAAAACACAACAAAAAATTTATCTGGCCCTGTCTAAAGGGTCACCCTGGGCAGGGCTGGAGGGAGCTGACTTCCGCCATGAACCAGAAGCAACCCTTCTCTTGGAGGTCTCTGGATTTTGCCTCTAGGATACAGGAGCCGATGTCAGTTGCTGGGGAGTTTCCAGAGGCGGGGGTCAGATCTGGCGGTCCATACCAGGCAGATGCAGCTCAGACATGGGTCCAGCACAGACGGGAAGGTCTCGTTGTTATAGAAGATTCTGCCTGTGTAGGTGCAGCCTGCCAGAGAGAGCACGCACTGAGCACCAGCTGGGAGGGGCCAGGGACCAGGCTCCTGGCCAGGGCCAAGGTCGGAGGCTTATCTGGATAGCAAAGGGGAGGCCATGTGCCTCCCCAGGCAGTCACCTGGGAGTTAGGGAAGGGACAAAATGCCTGTGTGGATTGCCTGAATTGGGTATTGACTTCTTTCCCACTGGATTCAGCAGAAGGATCACAGTGTCTTGGCCTCAGTGTTCTCACCCCAGAGAGTGGGGAGATTCCTCCTATACCTCCTCACCACGGGGATCAGGTGGAAGGAATGGGAATACGAGGTGTGTGTGAGGCCCACAGCATCTCCCCAACCTCCTCTCTGCCCTCCAAACTCAGTCAAACCACAAACCCCGCCTGTCCAGAACATTCCCCAACACCACGCCCTTCTCTCATTCCTGACAGCCACAGAAGCCTGAGCTGAGTCATGCCACCTTGGATGATATGATCACATACTGGTGAGTGTAAAAGCAGATGATGAGACAGTAGGAGAAGCTTTTATAAAATATATATATAATGTACATCCACTAAATGTTGTGTGTGAGCACCACAAAAAGACGCTAGAAGGACATCAACACAAAGTTAACAGTGGTGATAGGTCCTTCTTCATATTTTTTATTTTTGCTTTCTGTATTTTTTTTTCTAAGTTTTCTATAATAGAGCTGGGTGCGGTGGCTCACACGTATAATCCCAGCACTTTGGGAGGCCAAGGCTGGCGGATCACCTGAGGTCAGGAGTTTGAGACCAGCATGGCCAATATGGTGAAACACCATCTCTACTAAAAATAGAAAAATCAGCTAGACGTGGTGGCGTGCACCTGTGGTCTCAGCTACTCAGGAGGCTGAGGCAGGAGAATCGCTTGAACCCAGGAGGCGGAGGTTGCAGGGAGCTGAGATCCCACCACTGCATACCAGCCTGGGCGACAGAGCAAGATTCTGTTTCAACAAAAATAAACAAATAAAATAAAATAAATTTTCTGGCTGGACACGGTGGCTCACGCCTGTAATCCCAGAACTTTGGGAGGCCAAGGCGAGCAGATCATGAGGTCAAGAGATCGAGACCATCCTAGACAACATGGTGAAATCCCATCTCTACTAAAAGATACAAAAATTAGCTGGGCGTGGTGGTGCGTGCCTGTAATCCCAGCTACTTGGGAGGCTGAGGCAGGAGAAGTGTTTGAACCCAGGAGGCGGAGGTTGCAGTGAGCCGAGATGGCGCCACTGCACTCCAGCCTGGCAACAGAGCAAGACCCGGTCTCAAAAAAAATTTTTTTTCTGTAATAAAACATTACTTTTGAAATCATGGAAAAGGCAAAAATGACTCTTAAAACTTCTTTCCTCTTGCTGTTCTCACGCTGTCTCACAGGTACCGCTCCCGTACCGCCCACCTGCACTGTAAGCCCTGCGCATCTTCATAGCTGCCTGGAGCACTCAGAGGGGCCCTGAGCTTGGGCAAACTCTTTCACCTCAGTTTCCTTATCTGTGCAATGGGGTTGTCCCTTGGGCTTGTTAGGACAACGTGAGATGAAGCTTGTATGGGGCTTAGTGCAGAGGAGCCCGCTGCAGGGTGAACCTGGAGGTGGTACCCGCTGAGAGTCCCTGTCCTGGGGGCTGGGGGGCGGAGGCAGGGGGTTACCTGCTGAGCAGTCCGGGCAGCACTGTCCGGGGATCCGGATCGGGTGAGGGCAGGAGTCCACACAGTCTGTCCTCTTGCAGCTCACCGAGCCATCTGCCTGGAGGAAGGAGGAACTTCACCCAGACCCCACCGGTGACACCAGCCCCTGCCTCCCAGCCCTGCAAAAGAAACGGCAACGCTGCAACCCGGCCAAGGCTTGCCCTGAAAGCACCGTGATGCCGCTGGGAGGGGGCGTGTCCCCCTAAGAGGACCAGCTACTTGGTAAAGGCCATGTGGGCCTTCCAGGAAGGCTCTGCATCTTTAAGAAGGAAGGTCAGAGCTGGGATTCTGGTCTCCTCGCTTCCTCTCCCTCTCCTGCAGCAGCCAAAGGCTGCACCGTCACCCTCATCCAAATCCTTTCTCAGCTTTTCCCTGGAACCCTGGCTCACCAGGAACCAACCTGCAGAGTACCATAAAACTCTATTTTTAGAAAAAAACCATGCCACCAGAAATGTCTGTTTCAGAGAGCCAAAGTGCCATATAAGGTTTCTTTTTGTTTCTTTCTTTCTTTTTTAGACAGAGTCTCACTCCATTGCCCAGGCTGAAGTGCAATGGCACAATCTTACAATCTTGGCTCACTGCCACCTCCACCTCCCAGGTTCAAGTGATTCTCCTGCCTCAGCTTCCCAAGTAGCTGGGATTACAGGTATGCGCCATATGCCCGGCTAATCTTTGTATTTTTAGTAGAGACGGGGTTTCACCATGTTGGTCAGGCTGGTCTTGAACTCCTGACCTCAGATGATCCACCCACTTCAGCCTCCCAAAGAGCTAGGATCACTGGTGTAAGCCACTGCGCCCAGCGTTTTTCTTAAAAAAAAAAAAAAAAAAAAAAAACCTGACAGTTTGAACCTTTCATATCACTCTCTTAATATCACAAGTGCCTGAAATCAGTCATAAAGGAGAAGACACAGAACAGACTTTACTCCAACTCTAATTCCAATGAGGCGTGTTCAGCATACAGCTTTTTTTTTTTTTTTTTAAGATGGGGTTTCACCTTGTTGGTCAGGTTGGTCTTGAACTCCCGACCTCAGGGGATCCACCCGCCTTGGCCTCCAAAGTGCTTGGATTACAGGCGTGAGCCACCATGCCCGGCCAGCATACAGCTTTTTAACAAACAGCTCATCAAAGGCACCAGAAGGCCGGGCTCCTCCCCCATGAAAGCGCACACAAATAATCTGGAGGTTAAAATGCAGTTTGTGAGAGCAGAGGTGTGGGCAGGCCCACGCCCAACCAGGGCTCCCAACGCAGGTGCAAGGGACCTCATTTTGAGAACTAAACCTCTAAAAGACTCGAAGCTCTTACAAAGTAGAAAGGAAAGTCGGCATGTATTACATTGGTGCAAAAGTAATTGTGGTTTTTGCCATTATTTATTTAGTATTTATAATGGCAAAAACCGTAATTACTAATACTTAAATAATGAGCTAAAACAATTGTTTTTCTGGGTGGATAGCTGTGTTTGCATTGTTGTCAATCTGACTCTCAAACTCATGCACCTCCTCATCCATTTCTAAAACAGTGAGGTCATAACGATTCACAGTCATGAAGAAAATGTTGCAATTTCACAGAAACAGTGTGAACAATTGGGTCTTAGGATGCCCCACTCCCTCAGTTATCCATGCCCGGGAAAAACCTTCTATGAAGATTCCTAATTCTTCCTCCTCACACCAGCAGCTCTCTGCACATGCGCAGCTTGTTACACACACATTTTTTTTTTTTTTTTTTTTTGGAAACGGTGTTGCTCTGTGGCCCAGGCTGGGGTGCAGTGATGTGATCACAGCTTATTGCAGCCTCCTGGGCTCAAGCAATCCTGGCCTCCCAAGTAGCTGGGACCATAGCTGCAGGCCACTACACATAGCTAATTTGTGTATTTTTTTTGTTGTTGTTGAGAGGGTCTCACTATGTTGCCCAGGATGGTCTCAAATTCCTGCCTCAAGCAATCCTCTCACCTCAGCCTCCCAAAGTGTTGGGGTTATAGGCACGAGCCATCATCGCGCTTGGCCATACACACTTCTTTTTCTTTTTTTTTTTTTGAGGCAGAGTCTGGCTGTGTCACCTAGGCTGGAGTGCAGTGGCACAATCTCAGCTCAGTGCAGCCTCTGCCTCCTGAGTCCAAGTGATTCTCCTGCCTCAGCCTCCTGAGTAGCTGGAATTACAGGCAGCCACCACCATGCCTGGCTAGTTTTTGTATTTTTAGTAGAGATGGGGTTTCACCACATTAGTCATGCTGGTCTCGAACTCCTGACCTCATGATCCTCCTGCCTCGGCCTCCCAAAGTGTTGGGATTATAGGTGTTAGCCAATGCACCCGGCCCTATACACACTTCTTAAGGCCAATTGCCAAGCTCCATCGTCCTCACGCCTCTAGTGAGAACAGAATAAACTGGGTCCAACCCTTTCTGTGAAAGTGGAACTTGACAGCACCGGAGGGAGCCTGAGGCCAGGACGCTTGTCTCCTCTGGGTGAGGCAGGGCAGCCGGGTAAAGCAGCTGAAGGCGAGCAGGTTGTCATTCACCTGGCAGATGCATAACTCACAGGGGTCACCAGGTGACCAGATCTGTCCAATCGGAAACTCAACCCCGTTGTCATCGAGAGAGCAGCCTGGACGAGGACAGTGGCAGAGAAGAGACAGTGGGCACAAGACCCAGACTACAACAGCAACAAGGACAGACGCCTCACGCACATGGTCATGCACAGACACAGATATAACTCACACAAACAGACACGCAAACTTACACACACTCATACAAAAGCACAAATATACACAGATACAACTCACACACAGAGACACACAAATGTACACTCATACAAATGCACACCTACATACACATGCACAGATACCATTCATGCGCACACAGAAGCACACACACTCATACAAATGCACAATTACATACACACAGATACAATTCACACACACACTCATACTAATGCACTTACATACACATACACATGATCACACACCATTCATGCAGACACACACACACTCATACAAATGCATATGTACATACACACAGGCACAATTGACACAGAGACACACATACACTCATACAAATTCACACTTACACAGCCACACAGATACCATTCATACAAACACAGAAACACACACACACTCATACAAAAACACAGATACAACACAGAGACACACATTCATTCATACAAATGCACTTACATATGCATGCTCACACAGACACACACACAGATATTACTCACACAGAGACAGAGAGACACACATAAACTTATGCACACACAGACACACTCATAGAATCTTACACTTACACACACACATATACAGACACAACAGACACAAACATGCATGCTCACACAGGCACACACAAAAACACAGACACATACACACAAACATACACACCGCAGAGACACACTCAGACATATTACACAAAACAGACACATGCTCATACACAAACACAAAGACTCATGTACACAGACTCCCACACACAGATACCACTAACACACTGACACACGTAGATAACTACTCACAAACATAGAAACACCCAAACACACACTACACAAAACATAAACACACACCCATACATAGGCAGACACATGTATATACACAGACTTACATGCATTCATACAAATGCACACATACACGCTCACACACACATACTACTCACACACACAGACACTCATGCAGACACACTCATACAAACATGCATGCACACACACACATGCAGACACAACAGACATAAACAAGCATGTTCACACAGGCACACACAAAAACACAGACACACAGATACACATAGACACACACCCCCAAAGAGAGATACATAGACACACCACACAAAAACACAGACACACACTTATACACAGGCAAAGACAGGTACACACAAACTTACATTCATACAAATGCACACATACACATACTACTCACACACACAGAGACCACAAACTTACACTCAGACACACTCATACATACACTTACATGCACACACACATATGCAGATAAAACAGACATAAACATGCATGCTTACATAGGCACACACAAAAATGCAGACACATAGACACACACACACACACTACCCACAGAGACACACAGACATACTACACAAAACACAGACACAACTCATATACACAAACACAAAGACACACATACACAGACTCCCACATGCAGGTACCACTAACACACCAACACACACAGATAAACACGCACAAACTCAGAGACACACAAACTTACACACACAGGCACACACTTAGACATACTACACAAAACACACACACATTCATACAAGTACAGAAAGACACATGTACACACACACATACAACACACACACCAGCAGTCTCAGCAGCTGAGGCTCAGCTCTCTCCCCAGCATCCACGCCCTGCGTGGGGGGAGCCCAGGGCCAGCTCACCTGTCGCGGGCGTGGGCTCCTGGCAGGTGAAGCAGCATTGCCCAGGGCCCAGTCGCCACTCTTCTCGGGGGCAGGCCAGCTCAGGGCAGGGCATGAAGGAGCACTCCACCTCCCCATTCTGGAAGAGAGCCAAGGCACAGAATGATGAGGGCAGCGCCCTGGCCCGGGGCCATGGGGGGCTAGAGGAGGCTGGCAGGCTGCCATCACCCTCCCCTCCACGCAAGGGAAACTGACAAATCTCCAGAGAGCACAACAGGCAGGTGGGAGGAACCGGGAGTCCTTCAGTAGGGCATCCTGGGAATGGGCACGGCCTCCACCCTCCCACTTCCAACCAGGTTCCCTACTGCCTTCACTCTGGCTCCTCCAATCAACTCTTGCTCCACAGCCAGAGAACTTTCTCCAGCACAATCTGATTGCATCCCTCCAGGCATGAAACCATTGGCTTCACTGAATGCAAAGCCCTCAAGCACAAATGGCAGAGTCCTTCAGGACTGAGTCCTGGCAGAGGCTATCAGTGCCCACCCAGGTCGCATCCCCAAAGTACTGCCCGTGGCTGACGGCAGCTGCATCCTCCAGAGATGCCTGGATGGTCACCGCCCCCACTCCCTGGGGAGCAGAGTCTCTATAACTGACTGGCGCTGGGGTGCAAGAGCAGGCTCTTGCGCTGTCCGCTGTCCACTGTCCAGAGCTCCCCAAGGATCAGGGTGAGGCCACGCCTTCACCCTGCTTCCTCTCCAGCCCCTACTGCTTCCCTCACTGGTTCCTGCTGAGAGCACTCCTTTGGAAGGTCGCCTGCTCAGGCCCTGCTTCTGGGCAACACAAGCCAAGATGTAACCCCTACCTGCAGCCTACCTGACTCTCCGTGCTCCAGCCAGAATGGCCATCTGCAGTTCTCCACCCTCTGCTGGGCACAGCAACCTCAGCTCCATGCCTGACGAGTCCCTGCCACCCTCCAGGTCTCTACTTAAAATCCCACCTTCCAAAAAGGCATCAGGAGCCCTGGATACCTGGCCATCACCCACCTAGGCTGTGGGCTTCCGGACCAAGGGAACTGGGGCTTCCTTGTGCCTAGCTGTGTCCCTGGCACATAGTAGGTGCTCTGTAAATAGCGGTGCTGAAAGATGAACTTCAAAGAGACTGTGGGAAGACCTGGGGGATCCCTGTAGTGCCTCTGCTGCCTCAGTTTCCCTGTTGTCGTGTGGCAGCTCATCTTTTCCTAGTCAAGTCAACCTGAGTAAAGTGTTGTGTCTCCCTCCCCTCCCCATCAATTCCACAGGCTTCGGGACGCTCGGCCACCATACCTGGCAGACACAGGTGGTACACTCATCACCACCCCCACTGAACACGGCCCCATCCTCGTACCACCGGCCATGGAAATAGCATCTCACTGCAGAGGAGAAAGGGAGAAGCGGCTCAAGGTTGATGAACAGCGGCAACTAAAGAAAAGGGGGAACAAATGACTGGGGAGCCCCAGGACACCTAATACCCACCCACGACACTCCACATTATGCTCCATGCCCAGGAACCCAAAGCACTTCTCCCCTTCCAAACCCCAGACACAAAACAAGTCAGGCCGACAAAGGGTTGAGTTGGGGTTCATGCCTATAATCCCAATACTCTGGGAGGACGAGGTGGGACAACCTCTTGCACCCAGGAGTTTGAGACCAGTCTAGTCAACATAGCGAGACCCCCATCTCTACAAAAACTTTAAAAAATGAGCTGAGTGCAGCAGTGTGTGCCTGTAGTCCTAGCTAATTAGGAGGCTGAGGCAGGGGGATGGCTTGAAACCAGGGCTTGAAGGTACAGTGATGGCACCACTGGACTCCAGCCTGGGCGACAGAACAAGGGCGCATCTCAACAACAGCACAAAAATCTGACAAAGAATGAATTACACGTAAGATGACGTCCTTAACCAAAGAGGCAGGGGAAGCCCTAAATAACAAAAGAGCAAAAGAATAAAAGAAAATAGCCGGGCGCGGTGGCTCAAGACTGTAATCCCAGCACTTTGGGAGGCCGAGGCGGGTGGATCTCGAGGTCAAGAGATCGAGACCATCCTGGTCAACATGGTGAAACTCCGTTTCTACTAAAAATACAAAACATTAGCTGGGCATGGTGGCGTGTGCCTGTAATCCCAGCTACTCAAGAGGTTGAGGGAGGAGAATTGCCTGAACCCAGGAGGCGGAGGTTGCGGTGAGCCGAGATCACACCATTGCACTCCAGCCTGGGTAACAAGAATGAAACTCCGTCTCAAAAAAAAAAATAAATAAAAATAAAAAGAATAAAAGAAAATAAAAAGAGACTATCCCGGACACCTAAGACAAAGGTGCCACCTTAGACAAATGATGCCACCAGGCCCACCTGCCATTAGTCAGACTGCCCTGGGCTCAAATCCTAGCTACGAAACTCACCAGGGAAGGACTTTGGGCAAGACACTTAAAGCTCTCTAAGCCTCGGTTTTCTCATCTGTACAAAGGGGCTTACAAGGGTTCCTACCTCATAGAGACTACATTGATTATGCAAAAATATTCAATTAAAAATAATATAACACCTAAACATTAAGAAAAAAATACTAAAGGCCGGGTGCGGTGGCTCAAGCCTGTAATCCCAGCACTTTGGGAGGCCGAGGCGGGTGGATCACGAGGTCAAGAGATCAAGACCATCCTGGTCAACATGGTGAAACCCCATCTCTACTAAAACTACAAAAAATTAGCTGGGCATGGTGGCGCGTGCCTGTAGTCCCAGCTACTCAGGAGGCTGAGACAGGAGAATTGCCTGAACCCAGGAGGCGGAGGTTGCGGTGAGCCGAGATCCCGCCATTGCACTCCAGCCTGGGTAACAAGAGCGAAACTCTGTCTCAAAAAAAAAGAAAAAAAAAGGAAAAAAATACTTAAAAAGAACACCAGCCTTGAAGTCAGGTAGACTTGAATTCAAGTTCTGCTCCATTACTTAACAGTTGTGTGTCTCTAGGCAGTGACTTGAACTTTCCAAGCCTCAGTTTTCCCATCTATAAAATGGGGCAACGAAAAGTACTGCCTTAGAGTAGCGGCATAAGGATTCCATGAGATGGAGTTCTGGCAAGTACCCCACACAGCAAGGGGCACAGGGTCAGCAGGGAACATCCATGACAGTGATGAAGCCATCTCAGGAAAGAAAACCTTGTTTATAACAAAGAACCTTGGTGGTTAAGGCGAGGCCCTTCCCTGCCCTGGGATAGAGCAATGACAAGCGTGGCCTGAAACCCTGTCCTGCCTGAGCTGAAGGTGCCTCCTAAGTCAGGGGAAAGCTGGGTTGTGAGAACAGTCTAGCATCAAACTGCTGTGCACATAAGAAGTGCTCAACAAAAACAGGCAATTTGAAATGCTTCACTTGATCTGAGTTTGTAAAGCAGAAGCCGATCTCCTCCCTCACTCCTCCACTCACCCCGCCCAATCGCATAATCAAAAGACATCCTCCTCTGCACTCACAAAGAAGCAAAATGTAAAATTGGGCTTGGGGGCTCATGCCTGTCATCCCAGCACTTTGGGAGGCCACTACAGGTAGATCACCTGAGGTCAGGAGTTCCAGACCAGCTTGGCCAACATCGTGAAACCCCGTCTCTACTAAAAACAAAAAAATTAGCTGGGGGTGGCAGCAGGTGTCTGTAATCCCAGCTACTTGCTACTCCGGAGGCTGAGGCAGGAGAATCACTTGAACCCACGAGGTGGAGGTTGCAGTGAGCTGAGATCGTGTCATTGCACTCCAGCCCCTGGGTGAGAGAGTGAGACTCTCTCTCAAAAAAGAAAAAAAAAGAAGCAAAGGGCAAAACTGGGCTCAGGGGCTCACGCCTGTCATCCCAGCACTTTGAAAGGGTAAGGCAGGAGGAGCACCTGAGGCCAGGAGTTCAAGACCCTCCTGGGCAACATATCGAGGTCTACAAAAATTTGCAAAAAAGAAAGCAAAATGCTCCAAGAGCGTCACTTACCTGGAACACAAGTACAGCAATCTGACTGTGGGGAGGTCTGACAGGGGCCAGGGGGACACTCAGGAGAGATGCAGGACACGTTTCCAGCCTGAGGAGGCAAGAGATGGCACTGGGGGCGCAGGGGTGGAACAGGGCACATTCCCCATCTCACAGCAGGCCCTGCGAACAGGAAAGCTGCCTAACGGAGGCCACCAGAAACCTTTAAATGCGGCTGTGTCACAAGGACACATTTCTGGTGTTTATGATGCTGCTATGGTTCGGCTGTGTCCCCACACAAATCTCATATTGAATTGTAGCTCCCATAATTCTCACGAATTGAATCGAATCATGGGGGCAGTTTTCCCCATACTGTTCTCATGGTAGGGAATAAGTCTCACGAGCCCTGATGGTTTTATAAGGAGTTTCCCCTTTCACTTGGCTCTCATTCTCTCTTGCCTGCTGCCATGTAAGACGTACCTTTCACCTTCCACCATGATTGTGAGGCCTCCTCAGCCACGTGGAACCGTGAGTTCCTTAAACTTCTTTTGCTTTGTAAATTACCCAGTCTCAAGTATGTCTTTATTCTCACACAGTGTGAAAATGGACTAATATGTATGGTGTGGCTAGAACACCTCAGGTGCCTAAGACACTGCTCCAGGAAAAAGGCCAGGGCAGCCCAGCAGGCAGAGCATGCTCCCTTCCTTATGCAAACATGCCTGGGAGCTCTGGAAGGTGCTGGGGAGCAGAGAACAGAGCTGACTCCTGCAGGGAAGGAGACCCCCACGCACTTCCCCGTGCATCTGAGTTTTGAATCAGGTGGCTCATGTTGGCTAGCC